TGTGAGGGGTGAGTGTGAATGGAGTCATAAAGAGGATTTAGATGCAGTACAAAGAAACCTACTTGCCTGAGATGATTTGTTGGAGGTGGATAGTGAACCAGAGGGATGCCTGTAAGTGAGTTTAATTTCAAGTGGGCTTTGCATTGTCATCTTTCTATGGCTTCTTAGGCTGTTACTATCAGGAGTTGACTGAGAGTGTGCACTGTTTGAGACCAGGCAGGACCCATGGGACTGGGTGAGTGGTGTCTGCTGGTGGATTAGGTAGGTGTGGTGTAGACAGAGATCATCCAAGTTGGACTCTGTGGTTCCTTCTCTAGACTGATCTGCACCAAGGGGCCCAGAAGGGTATGGAATAGATCCCTGCCAGGGCTTGTTGCAGGTGGGATGACCACAGCACTTGTGTTATTGCTAAGGGGGTGAATATCCAGAGTAGGTCTTCAGTTGCCCATCTGTACCTATTGGGGCTGGATCCTCATCAGATGAGGTTTTCTCTCTCCATTTTGTAAGCTGAGGAAATCTGCAAGTGTGAGCAGGATGAGGTGGGGAATCAGATGCAAGGTCTCTGACAGGGATGGTTGAGCTCTGCCACCAAGCCCCACCCGAAGGTGCAGGGATGGGTGGGCTCTGCAGCCAAACCCCACCCTAGGATGCAGGGTTCTGGGTCTCAGAATTGTAAGAGGAGAAAACCACTAAAAACAGCACTGACTCAACTGCAAAGCAGACACAAACATTCAGTAAAAACCTTCTTAAGTTGTCTATATAACAATATCCACAGAGAAAAGAGGGGCAGAGATAATGATCGATAGTCTAAGAAAATAATATTGATGAGAGGAAAAATAACTAAAATGTAGAAGGGAAAAAAGAAATAATGAAAAATAAAAAGAAATAAAAATGAGAAGGCTGATAAGAGTGAGAAAATCCAAGCAAAGATGTTAAAGTATGTGAAGTTACAGGTAAGTGTGGAGATAATGAAAACAAAATGAAGAAAAGCAAAATACAGTGAGCAATTTGTGGAGATATTTGGACAAAATGGAGATACTTCTTTTCAGCACCTCTAAGTTTGAAATCCCCTAGGTGTGAGGAGGTGAAGGCATGGCAGTGAGGTCAGGAGGCTCCTTCCCATTTCCAAACAGGTTTGCACCAAGGGGGCCTTGAGTAGGAACATCTACCCCATCTCTATCACCCTTGAGATTAGTCCCTGTGTCTCCAGCTCCTAAGTCAATGAACTCAGGCAGGGAAACATCAGGCCAGGACCGGGCATCCTCTGAAGGTCTTGGAGGGTGGATAAGGTGACAAAACCAGTGCAATTTTCAGTATTAGGGAACAGAAGTGAGCGACCAGCCCTATGGTCTCACAGAAGTCAGCCTGCTCTTTGTTTTAGGGATTTAATAATTTGGCAATGGCATGGAGACCAGGCCTCACACAGGCTGAGTGAGTGCTCTGCTTCTAAGGTACACACTCACCCAATACTCTTTGATTTCTTTTCTTTTTTTTGTCTCCTCTCCTCTCCCCTTCTCTCCTCTCTTCTCCCCTCCTCTCCTTTCCTCTCTTCTCCATCCCCTCTCCTTCCTTCCTTCTTTCTTTCTTTTCTTTCTTTTTCTATTTCTTTTTTTTCCTCCTGAATCAGGGTCTCCCTATATCATCCAGGCAGACCTGCAACTTGCCATCCTCCAGCCTCAGCCTCTCCAGTCCTTAGATTACAAGTTTGTGCTATCACCTTGGCCTCAGCACCAATCTTAAATAGAAACATTTTCCCTTTCCCTCTGCAGTGTAAACCCTTCCCTACCACATACACTTCTCAGCAGATATAAGTCAGTACTCTGGACTCACACTGTCTCTAGGGGTGGCTGCTCCAGAGTTAGTGCAGAGATGAGGCCTGGGGTCTTGCAGATACACAATGCAGTGCTCCCTGGGAGTAACCAGAGGCTTCAGATCCTCCAATAAATACCACACATGTAGGACACTTCTTAAATATGCACTCATAGGGCTACTATAAAAATACTGTGAGGTTTGTGGAACCTTTTCTGCACCACCGGCTCCTGCACAGATTCCAGGTGCTTGGAATCTGTATATTCTTAAGTGGACAAATCTGCACATGTGGATGCAACCAGATTTATCCCCCTGCATCTCTGATGGGGGAGGATACGCAACCCCTGCTCAAAATCTGGTATCTAGCACTCATCTGTGGGGTCTCTGCTTCTTTCATTCTTCTGATATCTATTATTTCTGGGGTTCATCTGGCTCTGAGTCTCCTTTGTTGTACTTCAGTGCTTTCATACAGCCCGACTTCATCCTGCAGCCACACTTGCTGTGTTTCTGGCTAACAGAGGCACAGGTGAGCGCCAGGTATCTAATCTGCCTTCTTCTCTCCCTTTGCATTAGACTGATGCTCAGGACCATGGCTTAGAAATTGAGCCAGGCAGCCCTTGGTTTAACTTTTGATAGTGAAAAAAGTCATCATACTAATTTTAGACATGAGGGATGCACAGTAAGAACTTCCAAAAAAGCAGGTGGGTGCATTTGCATGGAGTTCCTGTCCTTAGTGTACTCCTCACCATCTGTGTGTCACTGGTAGCAGGAGGTGGGGGGTGAACTGTAGTTTTCATTAATCTCCAAAGAAGAAAATTCACACACTGGAAACATGTTACTTTTGGTTCTTTGTGTTACTCGGAAGGATTTTCCAGTCCCATTTATGAACTCAGAAGATGATTTGAGCCAACCTCTTTCAGAGAATAATCTCCCTTTCTGTTATTAGGCCTGGAATTTGAGGAATAGCTCCATATTTATGAGACAAGTATATGTAATTGACAATGTGTCTGAGGGAAACAAAATCCATGGATATAACTGCCTCATGTGATTTTCAAATACAAACATTTACAGATTTCTATTTCACAAACTACCTGTGTAGTGTTGGCTGCAAGACTGTGGTTTATCTGTTGGCTCAGGGCTTTTCCATAAGCACCACCTGCCTTTTCAGCATGATCCAGGCCATCACTATCAGTCTTGAAACCACACTGCAGACAAAGTTCAAATCAAAGATTGCAGGCAAGTTCTTCCCTGTTTCCTTCTGTTTTGGATCTTAATTTTTTGGTAAGCCCCAGTTTGTTCCACTGTCTCACAACAGTCTAAGATCTGGGATTAGAATGTTTTCTGAGCATTGTTACATGTTACCTATGAAGGTAAGTGGATGGTGCCTCTTCTCTCTCATAGCGCTTCAAAATGTCATTTTCCAGAATCTCGTGGGCTGCAGCACTGGGTGCTTGACTTTCCATCTGTATGAACATCACAAGCACGTCCTCTACTTGTATAACTCCAGGATTGTAAACAATTACAGCCCAGAAATAAAAGCTACTCTAAGTGCTCATTATCATGACCTGTATCCTTTTATTTAATTGGGAAGTTTTCACTTTCATCTTCTGCATTGTCCCTGTCTTCACCCCTAACTCCACAATGTTAAGTGTTAAATGTTGCTAACACCTGATCAAGCCAGTCTCAGCCACTTCCCGCTCATCAGCAGGGCCATCCACTTGACACTGTGTTGGTGCACTCACTGAGAAGGTGAGAGAATGGCCTCTTACATTAACTCCTCAAGGAACTTTATCATTTAGTTGTAACTTTTACTCAGTAAAACTTTTCTCCACTGAGAATCAGCAGTGTTACATAAGTGTAGGATACCAGTACAAGTCCTTGAGAAGCAAGACACTGAGATGATATTAAGGCGAGCACCTGTGAGAGCCAAGAAGCCTGAGTTACCATCACAGCAGCATGCACTGTGATCCTGAGTGAGGGACAGAGGAAGAGCAGGGGAAGAAGCTAGGCTTCTCAATTTAAACAAGGGGCCAAGTTAAACAAGGCATTCTGGAGCTCAGTTCAGTCTCAAGGAGTCCTGGGTCTCCCAGGCACTTCTTTTATCTTCACATCCCAAATGCTCTTATTAAAGGGAAGCTTATCCTCTGCATGAACACAGCAAAGTATTTAAGAATAGAAGCACTGGGGACCTGACCAAGAGTTTTTACAGTATTTATTATGCAAAATTCATATCCTCATGTCTCACAGCAACAGGGTTACTATATTTACTTTTTATAAAAGAAGTCTATCACTGGACAATCACCATCTGCTTCCTGCGCTTCAAGGATGCTGGAAAGACAATTTTATTCCAGAGTTTTGTTCATTGTTCCTCTATACATCATTTATCTTCATTTCTGTACAATTATTGGCCCATGTATCTTCTGAACAGGAAGAAAAAGAGAGAACAACTAGCAATATGTTTGTTAGGAGAGCAAAACTGCAGCATAAATTTCAACTAAATATTGTGCATGCTTTTAATGATAGAGAATGATTTTTATCGGTGGTACTTGCTATTTAGTACCCTTGATAAATGTGTTCTCTGCATCAATATAATCTGGGATTGCTAAATATGAAAGAATAACAAAATAAACATTGAGTAGAAAGAATAACTGATGGAATTATAGTACATCAGGCCAGATAAATGTTATGCAGCTGTAAGAAAAATATGAAATTCTTAGGGTACAAATATATACAGATTTCCACAAGATGTCACAAAATTTGAAATGTAAGGTTCATGGGCATTTGCATATCTGCTATTGTTTATAAAAGTAGGGAAATATGATTGACATTTTTTCTAAAGTGAAATCATGTGTGTGATAGTCCATAAACCAAACTGGGACCTTAGAAAGCCAAATTGGGAGCTTTGGAAAGTGGTTTTAGATTTTGGAAATATTTGAATAAATTATACGTTGAAAATTTACATAAATTTGAACTACAAAATCATACCATACATTGAGAAATATTTCTGATACTCAAATTACTGAAAAAGAATAGTATGTACATAATTACATCTAAATCAATGCATTAATTATTTGAAAAACTTGCAATTTGGTAAAACATACAAAAGAGGAATTATAAAATCCAAAATCTAGTATTTACTTACAGAAAAAATTAAATATATAAAGTAAAATATCATTGCAAAATATAAAAAAATGGTTTTGAACCTTGTCAAAGGAGTTACTCTCTTTTTTCTAACTGGACTTGGCACCATGGGGAACATCTTTGTTTTTATGAATTATATATGCATTATTGGAGGCACTGAGAAGATATATATGCACCTTATTCTCATCCATTTGGTCTTTACAAATACCATACTGCTTCTTTCCAAGGGAATTCCAAGTACAATAGCAGCTTTTGGCTTGAGAATCTTCCTGGACATCATAGGTTGTAAGATTGTTATTTACCTGGAGAGGGTGGCCCGAGGTGTCTCCATCTGCACCAGCAGTCTCCTCACGGTGGTCCAGGCCATCACCATCAGCCCCAGACACTGTGTGTGGAAGAGGCTCCAGCCCAAGTCAGCATGGCACATTCTTCCCTTGCTTCTTTTTTTTTGGATTCTCAATTCCTTGTTAAGCATGAATGTATTCTCTGTGATCACAAATATTAACCTAAACTCATCACAAATAGATAAAAGTGACTTCTATTGTGGTTTACCACTAAAAAAACAGAAAATAAACTTCATTTTTGTGACTCTTATGGCCCTGAGAGACACTGCATTTCAGAGTCTTATGGGTGGATCCAGTGTGTACATTGTGTTTCTTCTCCACAGGCACCACCAGCGTGTCCTCTACCTGAAGCTCTCCAAGTTCTTCTACAAAACTCCACCTGAAATCAAAGCTGCTCAAAGTGTCCTTATTCTGATGCTTTCTTTTCTTTTCTTTTATTGGACAGATTGTGCCATATCTTTATACTTCATTGTCTCCTTCAAGAATGCCTCCACAATAGTAAATCTTCAAGTATTTCTGACTCTTGGTTATGCAGTGCTCTGCCCATTTGTGCTGATTCACAGAGATGGACACTTGGTTAAATGTTGTCATTCTCAGTAACATGGAAAGACATCAAAATTGTGTATTTCATTCATCTTTCCTGATTTAGTTGGAATGTACTCTTCATTCTGTTATACTGTATGTAAAACAGTATCATGCCAAAGTGGTTACATATGTAAGGATTTATAATCCTAGTGACCTCCATCCCTGAGCTGAAACACAGATCATAGAAAAGTAAGTGTTGGGTGTGTTGTGCATACCTGTATTTCCATCTTTCTGGAAGCCTGAAACAGGAGTCCAATCCGGGCAACTGAGAGACTTAGAAGACTCTGTCTAGATATTAAAATAATTAAAAAGAGCTGAAATGCTTAGGCATTGGGTGAAATTCCCAGTAACTAGTACAAACACACACACACACACACACACACACATGCACACACACACACACACATAAACTTACACAACTCATCTCATTCTCAACCCAGTCACTCACTAGAAGTGTTTTTCCTGTAACATTGGAAGGATTGGTCTTTTATTACCATTGTTTCCAAAGGAGGAAGCAAGAGAAAGATTTAGAAAATTTTGTCAAAATGTCTCATGGACCTTCCTTTTGGCTACTGAGTTACATTTCTTAGAGTTTATCTTACAGATATATTTGTTCTTTTAGATTTATTATAGAAAAACGTAATGTTACCTGTGTTTAATATACAAAAATTCCACTAAAGAGCTCTTTGGCTACTCAACAAAATCTATAAGCATTTAACCATAGAAAATGATTTTATGAAATTTGATGAGGAAATGCTTAAGTCCTAGTATATTTATGTTGAATGGCACACAGTATGTAATTTCAGTCAATAGACTAATGATACATAATGAGAGTCAAAATATAGTGGAATCTATTTGATTTGTTGCTATATATATATATATATATATATATATATATAGACTGGAGGAATCTAAAAGGTCTAAATTTTTGGAGAAACTGATAAATGAATGCAAGAAAAATGTAATTTTACAATGTTCTGCATTTTTTTGTCTCTAAACATGTAAAGTTATGTCTTTTCAAAATGAATAATTTTTGTTTGAATTCATCCCAGGCATCATTTCATAATGACTTGGCACTCTCCATAATGCTATCAGTCACTTTATCAGCCTACAGCTACAAAATATTCTGATTATGCATTAATTTAAATGAAGAAATTGGTTTTGAACTTTTGAAATTTGAATCTAGAACAAGAGATTTTTGAGCCTTAAGAATGAATGAAAGTAGGGGAAAGGAAAGAAGAGGAAGGAATTAATGTGAGAAAATGAAAAAGTGGAAATGAAGTTTTTGTAGATAGGGTGGGATGGAGGGGTTGAAGGGAGGACAGGGAATGGGGAAAAAATAAAAGCCAAGATGGATTATATAAAGGTGTAAATTTCCAATGATGAATGTCACTATACTATATACTGTAAATGTACCAAAAAAATTAATAAAAAATGAATAGGAAAACAAGATTACACTTGTAATCACAGCACAGTGGAGATAGAAGCAGGAGGATTGCCACAAATTGGAGGCCAGTCTGGACTATATAGTAAGCTCAATGCAAGCCTGAAGAATATAGTGAGACCCTGTCTCTAAAACAAAAAATGAAAACAAAAAAAACCAAACCTGACCAAAACAAAAACAACACACACAGACACACACACACACCCCATCCCCAAAACCAATAATGGTTCTGAGATGTAGGATTGCTGACAAAACATGACTAAAGATAACTTGGAAACAGATTGTCCAAACCAATGCAATTTGCTTTTGCTTTGTGTTATAATTTAGATGTAGTATGTCCCCTCAAAGTCTCATGTATTTGGAAGGTGGGCCAGATAATGGTATGTTATACTTAATGGAAGATTCACATGTTGATTTCTTTCAAGCTGAATGTACTGTAGAAGATGGGGCCTGGTTGGAAGCAGGTCACTAGGGTACCTGAAAAGTTGTATTCTTGTCACCAACTCTGTTCTCTGCTTCACCACTAGGGTATGGACACCTTTCCACCACTGCCCTCTGCTGGGCTTCTTGTGCCTCAGAACTAGCCAGCCCAGAATTGAATCCTCATTGTGAACCCAAATCAGTTTTTCCTGGGAATTTCAGGTGTTGAGCATTTTGTCTGAGTGACAAGAAAGTGACTAAAATACTCTAAGTACTCAGGATTGAGTTGAGTAAAATAAAACGATATTGTAGAAAGAATTGACAAGTGAAATGCACATAGAGACATGCTGAATGGAAGTAAAATAAAAAGTTTATTTTGTCAGTAAAGGGTCGATTGCACTCAAGTAGGCAGTGCCGGTGATCAACCTCCTATTGGGTTGCAGTTTCCTCTTTTATAGGTTTTACAGTTATGATCTCATTCAGGTCATTACATTTTTTTCCAGTTTACATTACCCATGTAGAAATTACAGTTTACTTTAACCCAGATGTAACAATTCCTTTTAGTTAGGGAGTTTACCTCAAGATTTGTCTAGCTATCTATTTTAGTGCACAGGAATGAGGTGTTCAAGGTTAGGGATAAGGCCAGATGTCCTATTTCATGGTTCATGCCTCCGGTGTCTATTAATTTTGAACTGAACAAAGCAGCTGTTAGAGACAGCAAAAGTCATTTTATATTTTTTTTTTGTTTGGTACTGGGGATCAAACTCAAGTCCTTGTGCTTGTGAACCAGGTGGCAGAACCACTGAGGTAAACCCCTGGCCCAATTTTACATTTTTAAACATTTTGTAGGTTTTCAGATTATTTACAAAATTTATCTGTATCATTTTCCCCTTTGTTTTTGGGGTAACTCTTTACCCCTCATTGAATTTATGCCAATTATATGTAATGGGTAGCTGAGTAGAGGGTACGTAGTAAGCATTATTGGCTCTAAGGGCAGGTAACTCACAATGCTAATTGCCTGATAAGTCATCATGGTGAGTGGTGTACAAATCCAGCAATCAGAGGCTAATTCCTGGTCTGCCTGTCACAACTGCCATTATTTCTGGTCACAGTAAAACTGTTTAACCATATCTGAGTTTTATCTGAATAATACATCTTTTTTTGTGTAAATCCCTGACATTCAAGTATGGTACCAGGGTTTTAATGTTCTTTTGGACAGGCATCAAAAAGAAGAGTGAGAGGATGTCCCTCTGATTCCCATTTAGCAGGTTTAAAGGTCACATATTTTATCAAGCTTATCATTTTTAGGCTTATAAATTTTTAATTTAAAAAACAAAATAACTCATAACCATTTGACACAATAAGAGTCCATAATGTGTAGTCTTCATTTTTCAGCTGTGCATAGACTCACTAGCTTCCAGTGTGGTGAGAGCAGGGCTTTGAGTGGATTGTCTCCTGGAGTCATAGTCCATGGAGGTTTTGGTGGCTTTATAGAGTGGTGAATACATGGCTGGCCTTTAGCTACCTTGACTGTTGTGGGAGTAACTCTAAGTGTCTCATATGATCCTTTTTATATAGGTTGAAAGGGGTCTTTTAAAAATTTTAAACATAAACTCAGTCCCCTGGCTTTATCAAATGGGCAGGGGTTAGCACAGGGAGGACCGTTTTATCTGAGTATTTCATAGCAGCTAGGGGCCTTTCTATCTCCATCTGAAGTTTCTGTTTAGTTGTCTTTTTGGATTTTATTTCTGTTTTAGTATTGCCTTTTGCTATTGCATTTTTTGGTGTCTAGAGCAATGCATTACTGTTAATATATCAGATTTTCATATTATTTTAATAACTATTATTTCTTGTTTATTTTTAATCAGTCTGTCCTCCACTGTGAGAAGACCATGTCTTTTATATATTATGCCAAGAATATATAGGGTAGCAAAGGCATAACAGGCGTCTGTATAAACATTTACCTTCTTTTTCTTTTGTCCATTGGAGAGCTTATATAAGTGTCCAAAACTCCACTCGCTGAGCTGATCATCTGGTGGGGAGGGATTCCACTTGGACCAGTTCATCTTGAGTCATCACTGCATAGCCAGCATAAGATACACCATCCTGTGAGCAGGATGAAATGAGCATCAGGCAGTGGGGTTTTCTGCAGATCCGGATAACTGTAGAATAACTTATCAGTGATGCTGAGTCAATCATGGTGGGGAGGGCAGGTTCTGAGGGCAAAAAAGTAGTGGGATTTAAGGTTTTAACTGGAACAAAATATACACAGTGGTTTTCACAGATAAGGGCCTGATATAATATGATGTGACTCTATTATTTGAGAGCCACTGATGTCTTATATTATTTAATAGTTCTAGAAAGGCAAGAAGAACCCGGATAGTCAATTCTTGTCTTAAGGTTAGCTTGTCAGCTTTTAAAATTAGCATAATTGCAGCTGCCAGAGCTCATAAACAAGGGGGCCATCTCTTTTAATAACTCCTTGTTTTCCCATGAAAATATCATATTTTGAAAATGACCATTATAAACATATCACAATAGCATATTTAGAATTTAACTCTTTCATGATAACCATTGTAAACATTTTATAACAACATATTTAGCAATTTATTGATGTAAGTCTCTTTATGCTTGTAAATGCAAACCTTTCACAACAAACTTGAAACAAACAAGCAAACATACATATTTCCTTAATAAATTACTTTTGCACACTTTCTCAATGTACCTAGGCCTTCTGTTCTTGTATGTCTCTCTTCATCCTTTTAACAGACAAGCATACAAAATCTCTTTATATCAAAAGTATATCTCTTTTATTTATAGCCCTTTTTAGTACTTTTTTCTGTTGTCTCACCTACATTTCATAACATTTCATAACAAACTTCAGCTGTTAAAATTTTAAAGTGTCCCCTTTGTTACATTTTAAAATCTGACTGGCTGCCATTAGAACAGTATTAACCTTGAGTTCTTCATCAACAAAGTACAGAAAAGAGCAGGTTAACTCTTTGGCAAGATTATAAGACCACAACTAAACAGTTTTCATAAGCTGCTGATTGCTGTGGAGCAGAAGCTTGAGTCGCTCCCAGGCTGGGTTGTTCTGGCCCCAAAACAGAGTGCACATGGCTCCAAGTTGTCATAGTCTCCATTAAAAACA